GAAGGGGGGGGGGTGCGTAGCTGGCCTCCTCTGCGATGCGTGGAATGGCAGGTGGATGCAGATGCATCCAATGGACACGTGCCACGTGGGCAGGGAGTGCTTGTATTGAGTGCAGTACACGTGTAAGATGTGTAGCGAAAGGAGGTACTGTACGAGGAGAGAAATTGAAAGCAGAGAAGTGGAAAGCAATTGGTGTCCGGAAGAAGGAATTGCAGGTCACAGAAACACGGTGAGCCGGTGTCCAATTGTGCCGTGTAAAATGGTCTTTGTTGTCCCTGACCCATGGGGCAGTGTCGGGCGGTGTCGGGCGGTGTCGGAACAGGAATGGCCCCCGTTTGGCTACAACAGCAAAGCGAGGCTCAAAAATCATCGCTCCCTATCTTACCTCTCGCAACTGCCCCGTGCGTATCCCATTCGCCCACACCGCAGAGTCAACGCCCTTCCGCCCGCCATCGCGGCATGACCCTCAATCCCCATGCCCTTTCCCTAACGCTCCCCGATCCGTCGGTTCCCTTCGCCGCCCCACCCCCCCGCCCACACGCTCTAACCGCGCCCCCCAAACCATGTCCGAGCTCGGCCTCACCCCGGTCCCGGAGCACGAGCCCATGCTCAAGGGTCTGCGCGCCCACTTCCTGCAGCTCGTCACGGACGCCACCAAGACCAACGAGAGGATCCACCGCTTCCCCGGCACCATGCCTCTCACCCTGTCCAGGAGGCATCTGCAGATGATCGCCACGGCCGACTACGTCGTCCTGGAAAAGTCCGACGGCTCGCGCTACATGCTTCTCGCCGTCACCGACTTTGTCTGTCTCATCGACAGGCAGATGCGCTTCTACGTCATCGATCCGAACCCGTCCATCATGTCTAAGGGCTTCGCCTCGCCGCAGGACAACACCTGTCTGGACGGCGAGCTCACGTACAACATCATGACCCAGCAGTGGGAGTATCTCATTTATGACGCTATCGCCGTCGATGGAGACCTCAACGTTGCCCAGACAGGTTTTAGGCAACGCATGCAGGCGGCCGAGGTCTTCATCGCCGGACCCAGGTGCTGGGCCCCGTTTTGCTCAGGCCTCCTGAGGCTCAGGATTAAGGATTACTACGAGAAACGCAACATTCGAAAGCTGTTTGCAAACATTCGACGCGATCCGAAGGGCCACTATTTGTATATCAACAACGATCGTCGCGATGGCGTCATTTGTAATGAGAATGACGGCGTCATCCTGTCCCCTGTCGGCATGCCGTACCAGGTCCGCAACTGCCCGGCCTTGCTCAAGTGGAAGCCTCCGCATCTCAACTCGATAGATTTCACTTTGCAGCTCGAGAAAACCCTCGACCCACGACACAACCAGCCCTCCGTCAAGTGCCATATTGCCTACAAGGGCGAGCGCAGCATTGTCAGGATGCGGGAGATCTACTTTCCGTCCAAACTGCGCCGCCAGTTTGCGGCCAACTTTGACAAGTTTAACAACAGCATCGTCGAGCTTGCGTATGACCGCATGGCCGGTGAGTGGAAGTATATCCGGCAGCGAGAAGATAAGGCGATACCCAATTTTTCCACCACTGTCATCGACACGATGGAGACGATTGCCGAAAACATGGAGAGAGGAGAACTGGTTGTTCATCTCGAGAAGACTTCAAGATCACCCCCGCAAAGCGAGCTCGAGCTCATCCAGGCTGTCGCCAAAAACGTGGAAGTGTGTACATACCGAAACGACCTTTTCGATGATGAAAACCACGACTATTTGGTGGCTACGCCTATTTCGCTGGTCAGGCCTCCGCAGATCACGCCGCAGCCGCGAAGGTTAGGAGGGAACAGAAGGCCGAATGAGGGGAGGAGACCTAGACCTCACATGCCGAACGGGAACCCCCCGGCTGCTGGCTCAGCCGAGGGACGGGCTGGAAGGGATGCCTTTGAATACTCTGATGATGTATAACTTATATTGTATAGACACGATGCAGGACATGGAGCCCTGCGACATGACCGGTCTACGATGTACTGTACAGTGTACTTCCATTTCCTCGTAGAGACGTTAGGCGTACTACCTCACGTGCCTACCCATAGACGTACTGTGTGTATATATATGTTTATACGTCATGTCTGTCCTACTGAACCCTGCGCTTTTGTCCGGGCATAAACTTTACCTCTAAAACCTCATATCCAATAAGGTTGTCCGTAAAGTTACGAGAACGCGTGTATTGGCGGCGAGTTTGCTCGGATTTTCTAAAGGCAACATTTTCAGACAACGCGTTTGGCAAAACTAACATCATACCGAAAACTGCGGCATGTGAGTTTTCCACGAGTTTCACATCCGCCTGATCACAGCAGTGCCGGATCGACCCGTCTTGAAGGAAAACGAGGTGGGTTTTCCGTTCTTTTCATCAACACAAACGAGTCTCAGACTGCACGGGTCGTATCGATATGCGTCATGGACGCCCCTATCGCTTCATCTGCGCAGAGTCCATCAACAGATCAAAACGCGACAGGATCTGCCACAGATGCCGCCGAAGCAACTGCGAAAGATAGACAAGTACAGTAGAAGCTTCTAAAAACCGGTCCTCTCCGAACGGCCCCCCCTCAGCCTGTCAAGAAGACGAAACACAACGCCCTTTCGACTGAGAACGTTTCTATCCTTGTGGCGAGCTACAATATTCGCTTCAGCGAGTATTCGCGCAGGTGCACGTGATCCGTCGGGCGGCACAACGGTGTACCAGACTTGCGCTTGCTGCGGGCAGGCACCCTGCTGGTGGTCAGTCCGCAAAACCTGTGGAGGAATTTTCTACTCGGGTTTACTACGGGAAGTACTTTCCGTCAAGCGATTTTGTGCGCAAATGAAAAAAAAAAAAAAAAAAAAAAAAACAGCGCGTTATTTTACGGACAACCTTAATGCTTTGAAGTTTTCTAGCGTAGGAAGAGCACTTGCAACTACTTGACGCAGCGACCAGTTATTTTGCGCGCGGAACAAAACACAAGCCCATCAAAGGCGGCTCGCTAGTCGTAATCTAAAACCGCGCGACTCTGTCGTTTAGTGAGACAAAAAAAGTTATCAGGGGGCAATTCGTCCGCGATACCTCGGATACAAGCAAGCGTCTCGAATGTGATGGATGTTAAGTAGTGCGCAAATAAACCTCTCTAGACCCAAGCCGTACCCGCCGTGCGGGCACGAGCCGTACTTTCTCTGGTCGGTGAACCAGTAGTACGGTTCCGGGTCCATGTTCTCCTTCTTGTAAGCCTCGAGCAGCTCGTCTGCCTTCCACATGCGCATGCTGCCGCCGACAACTTCGCCGACGCCCGGCAGAAGCAGGTCGACCGACTCGGTCAGGCGGGTGTCGTCGGGGCACTTCTGCATGTAGAAGCTCTTGAGCGAGGCCGGGAACTTGATGAGCAGGATGGGTTTGTTGATCTTGTCGGTCATCTCGCGCTCCGGCTTTTCGGGAATGTCGTCGCCGAACTCAAAGTGCGTCTTCGTCTCCGGGTCCTTGTAGATGTTGTGCTCGCGGCAATACGCCACGGCCTCCTCATACGTCATGCGCATGAACGGGCGCTCGAGCTTCGGCATGGGCTTGCCGCCACTCGCGCGCAGGAACGTGTCCATGTCGTCCTTCATCTTGTCGGCGACGCGGTCGATGACGCCACAGACCAGGCCCTCGATCGACTGCAGCAGGTCCTCAAAGGTGATGAACGGGCGCTCGGCCTCGATGTGATGAAATTCTGAGAGGTGGCGGCGCGTCTGGCTCTTCTCCGCGCGATAGCTCGGCAGGATGCAGAAGCAGTCGTTGACGGCGGCGATGCCCGTCTCCAAGTACAGCTGTGAGCTCTGCGTGAGGTAGCCCTCCTCGCCAAAGTAGTCAAAGGCGAAGAGCGTGGACCCGCCCTCGCACTGCGTGTTGACTAGCGTGGGCGGGGTGAGCTCGACGTAATGCTCGGCGAAAAAGTGCTCCCGAAAACACTGGGTAATGATAGACCTCATGCGCAGAATGGACGAGGCCTTCGACCCCCGCAGGACGAGATGCCTCTGGTTGAGCAGGATGTCCACGTTACTATCCTTCGTAAAGAGCATATCAATGTCCGACGAGGTGGCACCCACGAGCTGCCAGTAATCGACTTGCAGTTCAAAGCCGGGCCACGTGCCCTTGGCACGGCCATTGTCATCCTTTGTCCATACGCCATAAACGGCAATGGAGGCCTCTCTGCCGAGGGTAGCGGCGTCGTAGGTCCTGCACAAGTCGCCGGTGAGGACGACCTGTGCGAAGCCGGTGCCGTCTCGGAGGTCGATGAACCAGAGCTTCTTGCCGTCCGTGCGGAGGTGGTGGACCCATCCGCAGACCTTGACGCGGGCCCCGATGCAGCGGGGCAGGTCGCGGATCTTGGCCGGGCGCGCGGGCGGCAGCGACGGGTCCTCGGCGATGACGACTGCGCGCGCGCGCTCCAGGCGGGCGGCGTTCTCCGCGGCCGCGCGCGCGGCAGCCTCCGCCTCCTTCTCCGACTTGAGCGCGGCCTTCTTC